CCGAAACAATGAAGCGAAGGGAGACTATCCAACATCGACGTCTCGGGGGGGGGGGGGGAAGGGATTTACATACGTTTTCGTGGTTATAAGTGTTTCCTGCAACCCCACGTGTATTTCACGTAATCGCCCTCGAGATAAATATCATCAGAACGTGCCAAGTAAATCGGCCGTCTTCGTATATAAATGCATTGTGCGACAATATCCTTCGGTGATTCCGATTCAATGACGCACTTTCAAATGTAGAGATTGTAAATTATCGCAAGCTAAAATTATTTTGCATACCGAGGTTGTGTAAAATCAACAAACGAACTTTTCTCTACACGATGACAACTACCAAAGAATTTTGATGAAAGATAGATATCGCTAGAGAAAAAGAGAGAGTCAGTTTGCAAAATCGTGTCACGAACTCAAGGTCGAATTTCAGTTGAGAGAATAGAGGGATGGAAGAGGGAGGGAAGAGACGGGAGCCTAAAGGAAAGACCTTGGCCGAAGTGCGACTAGCGCGGCCGGAATGATAAATCGCTCACGACGAGAGAGTCGCGAAAGAGTATTTAAACGAGACGATCCTCCTCGGGCACAGCGAAGAGATTAAAGCCACCGAGTAATGTAGCTTTTAATAACAATCACGTCGCAGAATCCGGATCGTAATCGCCAACGACCGGATATCAACGAAACTGATTGCAGAAAGCATTATCTTCTACATGGCACGCTCTTTAATAATTCCGTTTTATTCTTATTCCTTTCAATATTATTGATATTCTCTGAATTTGTTTTTACGAAAAATGAAGGAAGCTAAGAGAGAATTGTCATTTTTTTTTTGTAAAATTAATTATCTTTATTTTACATCTAATCAAACTTCAAAAACTCGACGCTTTTTATTGTACTAAATATTTTTAATTTACACAGGTCCAGCGATCTATGTCAATATGTCGTGTTGACAATTATCGCCGTAGAAAAAGAAACAGTTTTTCGGGGATACATTTGTTTCGACAGCTTGTCAGCTCCTAATACAAAGTGGATTCCTTGCGAGAATAGAAAACGCGTCCCGGGGCCGAGGGAGAGAAGGCCATCAAGGAGCGAGGAGCCAAGGGTTTCGTTCGTCCGTGGTTCTTTTCCGGCAGGGTATACGCACGATGCACGGTCGCGCTGCATCAGCTAGAGGCAGTAATGAATTCGGAGATAAATGGCCGGAGATACCAGCCAATATGTAGAACTGTCGTTCCTTCGTTCCGTTCCTCGGAACGCTTTATCGCCGGGGAGAGAAAAGAAAGGAGCATGAATGGTCTCTAGCAACTACCCATCGCCGCGTAACGTCTCCTTCCACGGGACTCGTGTCTTTAACATATGAAAACACGTTGTCAGATAGCGGCCGCCGCGGGGTATACCAGTTCCGCTAACACACGGATCTTCCCCGGTAGGGAAATTTATTAGACCGGAATACGATTTAGAGTTTAACTCCGCGGACACCGCGGACGTTGCGTGTTGTTTGAGTGAAACTGGTTCTGCAATCGATATGCGCTATTAATACGCACGTTATTCGCATCGCGATTTAGAACCGGACGC